AAGCTTGTGAGAGCAGAAAGTGACAAGGCCCAGCACCAGCAGCGCCAGCCCTAAACCCTAAAAGCCTAAAACCCTAAACCCTAAAGCCCTAAACCCTTAAGCCCTAAATCCCTAAACCCCAAACCCTAAAGCCCTAAACCCTAAAACCCTAAAGCCCTAAAGCCCGAAACCCTAAAGCCCTAAAGCCCTAAAGCCCTAAACCCTAAACCCACTCTCGGCTGAGACTTTGTCCGGTCCCGGTGCTCCGAGTTTGCAATAGCTTGGGCTTAGGATCGAGTCTTAGGGTTTGGTCTTTATCTTTATATGTCTTTATCTTTATATGTACTACAATAAAGCTCAGCCGCTTGCCTGCGCTCCTGCCTGTTTTGTTGGGCTTTCTGCGGGATATGGTTTCTTACAAAGGGGTTCCAACATGTGTTCTTTCCTTCTAGGTGGAATGGACTTGGTATGTAAACTGACGGTTTAGGCCTGAGTGTCGCTGAAGTTGGCCCAAGCCCAGCCTGAGACCCAAAAATGACAAGGGGGCAGTTCTCCAAATTAGATTCCCTGTCTAGGTCCCCAAAACAGTACGGCACCCTTAACAAAAGGGACCTTCAAAGATGACCTAATTTGGAGAACTACCCACAAGGGTCTGAGGCTTGTGGGGGCTTTTCGGGGGGCTTAGGGCTCTTGACTTGCATGCCGGTCACAAGTCGTGGCGGGCCCCGGGGTTTAGGGGTATTCGGGGTATTCGGGGACGTTCGAGGTTTGGAGTTCATGGACCTTTGGACGAGACCCCAGACGCACTGTTCGGGGTGGCAGACCTGACAAATTGATGGTTTCGAGGTCTAAAGTGTATGGCTCCATGATCAGAGAGCTTGAGGTTGAGGGTGCGAGAAGGTGTTGTACATGCACAAGCCCGGAATCTGCAGCGCCCTGCACAGAAGAAAACGACGGCGACGACTCCGCAGCCTCGCTCTCAGAATCATCCTGTTTGGATTCTCTGGCAGAAGAACTTACAGTTTGCCTCGAACCTATAGTAACATCGTTTCAAGTCGGCGTTAAGCTTTATACTCGCAACTAGATTTAACGGGTTCCACAAGCGTTGATGCTTGTGGCCTCCAAGATGGGTTTCTGGGACACGGTTTGGGATTGTATACCTTGGGCTTTGTGACGAGGTTTAGGGTTCAGGGTTTAGGGTTTTGTAAGAGCAGGTCCTTGCCATATTCCAGTACGTGATGATCTTTCTTTCCAGCAGGGAGTTTATACAGCATCAGACGGTGCTTGCGTGATGTGAGTATGGCTGTGGTTCTTGAGTCTTGAACTTGAACGTGCAAAACGTAAACCCGGCGCAAATCAGGCTCGCCCTTCTTCCAGTGCACCAAATTTTAAGAGCCCACAAAACCTAAAAGCGCGCCGTTGGGGGTTCGGATTTGTTGGGTTCAGGCTTTTAGGGTTTATTGTTGAGGACTTTGGGATTTATGGGCGGTTGTCGATTTGTCGGGGGCGGCACGCCCGGGAGGCCAAGACCTGAGAGTAAGGTTTGAGCCCCTCAAAGAAGCACAGGTACCTCCTATCACGAAGATGGTCGCGACGACGATGATGAAGATGACACTTTGATGGCCCTGAGCATGATCGCGTGCATGATGGTAATACTGGTGATGGTGGTGGCGGTGGTGGTGGTGGTGGTGGTAGTGATGGTGATGCAGATAATAATGACCAGCATCATGCTGGTGATGATCACGATGACCACCTGGTTTTTGATGTTGATGTTGATGGTCTTGATGATCATTCTGACGATGGTGAAATTAACCAGGCTTCGGCCCGCGCATGTCAAAAAATACGGTACTTGCGCCCACTGCAGCTTCCACTGGATCCGACGTGAAGGACACGCATGCTCGACCAACCCGCGATGATGTCCATGATGGTAGTGCTTGCAATGTGAAGAGAACGCCTGCTCGAGCAAGAATGATGTTCAAGTTCGCAGCACGCCGGCTGTGCAAAGCAAACAAGCTCGACTGCTCAGTTCAAGACCGGGTCACAAACTTGCGGCCCGTTCGTACTTGCTTCCTGCGACCTCTGCGAGTGGTCTCAGAGCCATACTTTTTCCACTCTTCTGCACCCTACCATTCTCCGACATTTTCATTTTGGGGTAGTGGCGGGCCTTAATTCAATTGTATAACCTACACCTTGTAAGGATATTAAGCATTACCACCACGAACACAGAATATGCACACACACGCACACGCACACGCACACGCACACGCACACGCACAAATATGTGTACACACACACACATATATATATATACACACACACGAGTATTATTTGTGCTACATCCAGAACCCCTTCATAGTTCAAGAAAGTTCAAAGTTTAACTGGGATCTCTTGGCTTTGCCGGCGTTTGGAATACGGCTCTGCCTATGACTGCAACTCTGACTGTGACGATGACTTCTCCCACTCCTGCTGCTGCTACCACCATTGCCAGTACGACTACCACCGCCATTATACCACTACCGGTACCACGACCAGTACCACTACTAGATCTACTATGACTGACCGTAAACCCTAGAAGGCCCTAGACTACGAGGATCTACTATGACTGACCCTAAACCCTAAACCCTAAACTACTAGGATCTACTATGACTGACCATTACGGCAGCGCTTCAGGGCCCTCCGCCCGCTGAACGCCTCGGCGCCACTGCTCCGCAGTGCAATCAACTCGGAGATGTCGGGGGCGCGGAGGCGCGTGTTTTTCCGTGTTCTAAAGGGCTTAGGGTTTAGGGCTTAGGGTTTAGGGTTTAGGGCTTAGGGTTTAGGGTTTAGGGCTTTAACTTAGGGTTTAGGGCTTAGGGTTTAAAATTTAGGGCTTAGTTTAGGGTTTAGGGTTTGGGGTTTGCCCTAAACCCTAAACCCCAAAACCCCTAAACCCTTAAACCCCTAAACCCCTAAACCCCTAAACCCTAAACCCTGGCTCGATAGTTTGATAGAAGCAGGGTGTTGAGGTCCAGGGTGTCAAGAGTGTTAAAGCGCCAAGGCCTACTTAGGCGTTTCGGACGCTTCTAGAGATTTAGGGGTTTAGGGGTGCGGGGTTGAGGGGTTAAGTTTAGGGTAAGGATTTTGGAGGTTAGAAGTTTAGGGGTTTAGGGTTTAGGGGTTTAGGGTTTAGAGATTTAGGGTTTAGAGGATTAGAGGTTTAGGGTTTCGGGGGTTTTGAGGTTCAGGGGCTTAGGAGTTCAGGGGCATAGGGTTCAGGTAAGTTCAGCGTTTAGGGCTTCGGGTCGAAATTCCTACCGCGTTTCGGGATCGGTAGGTGTGAAGTACGACACTGCTGGGTCATCTTTGCCAGCGAAACTCGGGTCTCAGCATTGAACAGAATGCCAACCTTATGATTATTTGGTCTGTGAGCAGCGTGAACAGCGGGGACCAATGTTTGGGCCATTTTTCAGCACCAGAACAGGCCAGACTGCACGTGCACACAGTAGGCCTGGATCAGTCACTGGCGAGGCCGGCACATGTCACGCAGGCCGGATCGACTGAGAGTGCCATGATGCTGGATAAAAAATGTGGCGGGGCGCTGGTGCTTTTGGGGCTGTGCGTTGGAGCCACCCAGCCGCAATGACAGGACGAGCTTGGTGGATAGAGGAGTTCGCAAACGATTGGTCTCAGTCTTCGAGCTGCGAGAAGTTTTGGACCTTGGGTCACTACGATCTGGAGGAGTATTCTTCCTGGAGCTTAAGTCCGGGCTTTTGAGAGCCGGCGATGATTGATTCCGCTGCCGATGGCCCATGCGCGCCAGAGCTATAATCGGAGAGGAAAGGGAGGCGAGTCTGGTTGAGAAATCCTTGAAGAGCGAAGAAAATGTCACACGAACGATGTCTTCTCTGTTTTGAGATGGATAAACAAAACCATGAGTCGAAGGCTCCGTGCAAGGACATGTCGTGTTCCCCGCTGCGTGGAATGCTCAATGCTACCAAAATATAGTTTTTGTTGTACTACGCTATTGCGATACAAATCCATTATACTGCCGTGCTTCTATATCGTTATCTACTTTTTTCTGTTATTCCGTTACTCGATATCTCTGCAGTGGTTTCTGCATGTATATGACTTTCATTTTCTTGCTCTGTTGTACTGTTGTATTACTTTGAAACCGTGTTACTCTAGTGTGCTGTTGCTTTGGGTTCTTTTTTCGGTTGTTTCGAGTTGTTCATGAAACGAGATGCGCACAAATTATCAACACGTTTCGCACTATTTTTGCCATGATGGTAGCACACCGCCAAGCATAAGGTTTTTGCAAGAGGTAGTGGTATTGGTGAGGGAGCGATGACGGTTTGTTCGTTACATACACATTAATATGGATCCCTTCATATCGTTTGCAAGATGCAAAAATCATGTTCGTTGATGGTTTCGTGTCATGCCACTGAGCGTAGCTGGTTTCGACACATTGTATCGCATTGCACCGTTTTAGCAATGTACATGCGAGTCATGCGCAGTCTCATGGTTTTCTTCGAGAGCTTTGCGTGCCAGTTGTTTTAAGATCATTGAAAACGTTTGCAACGGGGGCGTTTCGTTTCGGGACCATCTAAAAATCGAAGTTTGACAAACTTCAATGCTTCCGAAGGAACAGATCAACACAGAATGTGTTCAGAGGATGTCTGCCGCACGTCACTTTTGCTCAACTGGCATGCGCATGTGCCAAAAGTTGCACTTTTGGCAGTGCTTGTAGTGTCTCAAACTTGCACTTGCAGCGTTGCGGAGATCGGGTTGTCTTCCGTTCCTAACGCGGCTAACGCGGACATTTTTTGGTACGACATTTGGGAAGATGGTACAACTGGAGCTCGTTGTCTTTTGTCGTTGTCGCATTTCGAAAGCGATGGAGGCCGCGGGACCATCCGTTTCCACATCAATTTTTCGGCTCAGACATCGAAGTTTGTAGGACAGCATTATGGCAACTGAGGCAAACATCTCGCATTGGCCCTGTTGCGAGCATGGCGGGTCAGTTGGTTGGAGCTTGATGCGAGGCGGCTGCCGCCATCAAGAAGGTCTCTGGTGCTGGAGATGACTATTACCGTATTCTAGGCACTTGGGTCACTTGATCCGACAAGTACATCGTAGATTTAGTGAATTGCGACGGTGTGTGTTTACGATGGGTCAGGTATAGAAAAAAGTGCGAATGATGTCGAGATCAAGAAGGCTCTACCGTGTTGCAGAGCAAGCGATCCAATGTGTGCTCACTGGAGGCATACCGGAAATTGGCTTTGCAGCTGCATCCTGACAAATGCAAAGACGATGGGGCAGAGGAGGTCACGTTTGAATTCTAATTTTTACCTCCTTTGTTTAAGAGTGTACTTTCAATCTTCATGATGGAACATGGCCCTGGGAATGGCATTGATGCACAGGCTTTCAAGAGGGTGGGCGAAGCTTTCTCCGTGCTCAGTGACACGGAGAAGAGGCCTGATCCAGTTTCGCCGCTGAGAACTTTGTGATGGGTTTGCGTGCAGGCAAAGATATGATCAATATGGAGTGGATGCTGTAAAAGGCGTTAGCCTGAACGTTGCCATGCAGCTCCTCCGCTTGTCGCTGAATCCTCATAGTGCGCCCTTCTACAGTAGCTTTGTATCCCAGGCGGAGGTTCGGCGTCGCCGGGTTTTTCGCCGGAAGACATCTTTGAAGCTGCTTGTTTTTGACCACAGCATGTGCGCAGGTTGTGGTGCCAAATACAGTGTTGGTGCCAAGGCCTTTTTCGCAGGCGGCATGCCTGGAATGCGCGCAGAATTTGGCGGTGGGCGGAACTTTGTAAGGTTAGAAACTCAGTGGTTGAGCTCGGGCGCCTCGAACGGTTTTTTTTGTCCAAGCCCGAAAACGTTGCGTTGCCACAGCAGCCTGTACCAGCCGATATCCAGTGATCTGTCAATCAGGACCGGCCCTGGAACTTTCGTCTTCACTTCCGGAGGCAAAACATGATGTCGTACAATCTTGCGCTCTGTTGAGGAAGCCTTACTTCCTGGATTATATGCAGAGATGTCTGGCAGAGTGGTCATGTCGTCCTTCAAGTCTCGCAAGGTCCAGGAGGTTTTTCCTTTTCGACTTCGCATCCAGGCCGTCCATCGGCCAGGGCTTGAATCTCTGCAACATGTGTTGAGATACTGGGAATCGAAATTTTGAGTCAAGACGCTGTTTCCACCTACATGCATGTCCATCTAGTGCATCATGCTGTGAAGAGGTATGAGAAGAAGAACCCGAGCACAAGAGTCAGAAGAGGAGGCGAGCTTGGCGACCGTGACCGTAATTTGGCCGAGGGGTGAGACGGTCCCAGAATTTACTTGCAGGACTCAGGCAGTGCTACTGACAGTTTGCCGTCCTGGATCGCTCCCTTGCAAGCCGTCGCCGGATGCCCAGCTGGTTCATGTATTGTCCATCCCGGTCAAGCCTGTTGGCCATGGTCTTGTGCCAGGCCGGCGCATTAGGTCCTCTGCTTCCTATTGTCGTGGTTTTTGCCGAGCACTCAGACTAGCGGCCTTAAACCAGTTCGGTTCTGCATTGCGAGAAGAGCGGCTTAACAAGATGGCGTTGAGATGGCAAGTCACACCTGCAATCTTGCGGGATCTGATGGACATGAGGAGTGCATCCTCCCCAATTTTTGGTTTTTCCGAAGCCAGTTTCGTTCTAAGGGCTTCATGTTCCTCATGTCGGTCATGTCTTTCATAGTGCTGCTTGGCCGATTTCAGAATTTCGCTGCAGCTTTGAGCATTCAGTCATGCGCCCCGGTGTTAGCTTGTGGGTGTATCCCAGACGTACAGAGAAGGCAGCTCCTCATGTCCAAAGCACTGTTCGTTCTCCCGCAACTTGGCGGACCATTCGGTTCTGCAGCGTTCTCCGTATGTTTCCGTTTGACAAGCTGGCATTCTCTGGAATCTGAGGGTGATGTACCTCACGGAGGGCAGAAGCAAGATGCGGTGCCGACGTGATTGCCTTCCGTTGCGCAGGGGAGCGGATTTCGAACTTGCCTTTTGTTTGTCAGATTCTTGCTTGGTGGAGTCCTCCTTGCGTCTATGGTGGGCCTCATCTGAGTTAGCATGAGTCCCTGGATACTTGCTGGAGCTGCAACGGAATGAAGCGTTAATGATGGCTGCTGCATTCTCGTCGTCTCAGAAGCGGGCTCAAGCTTGACTTGAACCCGAAACTAAGTCGCCAAATTATGATGCCCGATTCATTGCAGCTCTTCGGCGCACGGCTCCATGCGGCTGCTCTTGGATGTGATTTTCCATAGATCTGAGCAGCTAAAACGGTTGCAACATGACACACAGTCGCGCAAGCAGCACAGCAAAATGGCATGGATGTTGGCATCCATGTATTGTTAAGCACTCTGATGTGGACATGTGACTGATGCCACGGTGCCAGCATCAGCTAGGTGTCCACACTTTGCACAGAAAATTGAGGGGAATCTGTATGATGACCAGAAGTGATGAGCCACGTGCTGTGTTGCTAAGTCACAAGCATGGAACCAGCAGTCATGAGCGATGAAGCCGTCTTCCCTAGTTGCGGTGGCATGTGCGCAAGCTCTGGGCTCTGGACTGCAAGACTTGATGGAGATTGATGTAGCTGAGCCTGATCTGATCTTCCGAGGGTGTTGCCTTTGCATTTCCCCTTCACACTGCAAGTGCCGGCGACGAACTACTGTGCAGGCAAAGTCCTTTCAATGTGCCCTTTAAAATTTAAAACCGCTGGAGTTCAAAGTCGCCCTGAGCTTATTGCAGGGATGAGTGGGAGTTCGTGCGGAAAAGTGCTACCAGCAAATTCAGAAGCTGGAAGCAATCGATCACTTCGAGCGAAACTCTGCGAGAATGGGCAAGTCAACAGGCCGGGCAGTGATGCAATTACGGCATTTGCTTGATTCTCTGCTCTAATTGCCGTGGGTTCGAGGGTCTTACTCTGAAGTGACTGGGTTTAGTCTTCTTGCTCTCGAGGTTGAGACAACTAGAGTCTCCGATTGTGTCTCAGATGCAGTTAAAGAATCAAGACCATGCCCTGGCAAGATGTGATGCAGCACTTCAATCGCCGACCTTGGTGATAGTTTCTTCGTTTTTCCGTTTTTTTGCGGGTGATGGGGTGCAGCTCGATTCTTGAGGCCGGCCAGGTCAACTGGTGCTTCGCTTGCTTTCTGTTGCTCCTTTGTTGGCATTGTCCATCTTGCTCGCGGTCTGCTGCATGAACTCCAAACCAAGCTGACTCGACTGGGCCCAGGCCCATCATCAAGTCTGCGATGTGACAGCAGGATTTCTGTCACATCACTGGTGGTCGGAGATGCTGATGACGAAGTGGAGTAGCTTGCTTTTCTGGGCAGCTTTCGCGCCTTGACTTGGAGGCAAAGATGCACGTGGTGTGTGGGTTGCTTAGATAAGCAGCAATGGAATGCAGTGCGCAGATGGCAATTTCACTTAGGACTTGCTCCAGGCAGCAAAGGAAGTGCCAAGTCGTGTCGGTCGATGTGCATGTCGAAGACGGCACCTTAAGAGCTTCATTGAGTTATGGGACCTACAGCAGTGCCAGGGACAAGTGATTTCTTCACGCCTCTCAGGAATCGGCAGGATGCTTGGTCACGCGAGTCGGCATGTTGAAAGACGGCAACGCCTCGTTCGCGTCAAGGCCCGCACACGGCACCTTGGCAGCCTTATGCAGTGATCGAGAGCAGCTGATTGTCGCCACTGCAGATCTCAGTCCTTCTCCAGGCAGTTGATATCCGACGCCCCGAAGACCCTTGACTGGTCGCCAGAGCTACTGGTAGCTTCTAAGACCCTTCGGAGTACGTTTCGCTTCGAATCGTCCTTGTGAAGTGTCAATTGGCGCGTCAGGCTCCTGCGTGCTGCGTCACGACTGCATGATCACACCATCATCTGGCATCGCATAGAGGGCCACCAGCGTCGAAAGCGCTGAAAGCTGAGGAATCCGGCTAAGGCTTTGCAGTCTTTTGTCAGGGAGATTGACAAGGCTGAGGGTCTGCTTCCCCACTCAGGAAGATGTGTGTTGAGTCTGCTCCAGGAGCAGCGAGCATGGATGCACTCAGATGAATCCGGAAGGTCCTGCAGGAGGAGCTTGAAAATCGGCAGCAGAGAGCGGTTTCCGTAGAGCAGTTGGAAGCACAAGAGCTCAGGCGGGATCTTCTTCTCAGCCTGCGAATGAGTGCCAAACTCCTTTTCGTGAGCGGATCTTTCGAGGCACTTGTGAGTGTTGGCAGCACGGCAAAAGAAGCCTGGGTGGGCAAGTCGCTTCTCTGGCACCTCAGGAATGCAGCAGCCATCCTGGCGGCATGGCTGGTGGATGCCACGAGCCGTGGATTCGACGGCCGGCTGGAGTCAGGTGAGGTGCTCCACTGAGAGTGCCGCGGCACGAGGCTCCTTGCAATGCATGGCAAGGCCTGGGTGGTCTTCAGCTGTGCAGATGAACCGCTCGTCAACATGCTCTCTTGCGATCCCTTGATCGAAGAGGCCATGGCTTCTCTCGGGCCATTTCTCCCATGCCGAATTGAGCAAGACCACCTCGATGACAGTACATGCTCTTTCAAGCATATGTGAGTGGTAGAGGGGGCCTCAAGTGTGTCACACACCCGGTCGTATTGTAGGGTATGAAGAGTGCTCCTACGCGCAAGTTCGGACGATCCTTTGTAGTTTTGGACACCGTCCACGGCAAACCCAGACCTTCACAAGTGCATGCACCATATGCCTTCAGAGCAGCCATTCATTGCCATCGCGAGTTGCATGTTTTTGGTTTTTATGTGTCACAAACTTTCCTAGGGGCATCTTTCGCGGCTGAGAAATGTCAAATGCAGTTGAACCTGCATGCAACTATGCATCGTCAGACGCCCACTGGATGTCTAATAGAGTCTAGTCATGGCTCCCTAACAAGCCAGAATACATATGCAGTCTGGGCTTCACGGATGTTTGCAGGTGTGCTTAGCCACACCCGCAACTTGTAAAGATTGTAAAGGCCGGAACATTTGGTGCTGGCAATGCCTTGAGTACTTAAACTCTTGGCACTTGGAACGAACAGTTGTTCAAGTCTCGGGCAGTGTTTCTGCATCACTTCAATGAAACGAGTGCCTCCCTCAGCAGTATGTCATTTCGTTCTTGCTCGACACAAGGGAGATGTCCTTGTGCGATCCCAGAAGTGCGAGACACCACCAAAGTGTCGCCCGTTGCAACATGTAGGCCTCGCGATCTCCGTTCCTGAGCAGGCAGTCGGTGGCTAAGGATCATCTGTAATTGATTTCTGTTCCGCACAGCATGCCTGTAATCGTTCTCTTTTTTCCTGAGGCGAGTCTTTGTAGCGACAAGGCAAACGAATGGCAGTTTGTGCTTACCTGACAGGGGTTCTTCCCACTGCAGGCATCCCGGAGAAATGCAGCGACTCCAAAAGTTGCCATTTGCTTCTTGGCATGATGGGTTGTGCAGTACTCTACGAACCCTGATGTGGCGTCAGGTTGAGGTCATGTCGGCAAAGCAAGCTGCAGAGTTTGCCAATGCAGCCCACTGGTCTCTCGCCTATTACGAGGAGAGACTTGCTCCCGCTCTCTTCCACGGTTCGTCACGCATTCTTCAGTGTCCACCATGACCATGGGGGGAAGTTTTAGTCGTCCTCGCAGTCTCGGACGCGTTTCACGAGCCCGGTTCAGCGGCGATTACGTGATAGTAGTGGCCAGCACTATCGAATCCGATTTCGAAGACGCGAAGACATAGGAAGACACACGTGCAACTTGTGCCTTTTGCTGCGATTCAAGCCGCATCATGGTAGGAGGTATAAACTGCGTCGGAGTGATTGGCTGTAGCATTCGTGAATGATCAGTCACTGTTCGCAGTTGGAGGTCTCGAAACGACTCAGTTGTGCCTTTACGATCTCGACAATGCCAAAACTAAAAGTTAAGTGGATCACTCACGGACAACCTTTTGCTAGGAGCTAAGCCCCGGTTCGTTCGTAGGCTAGGGCGTCCTCCATCAGAAGGGATGTGGGAGGGTTGGGGGCGATTTCATTTGGAACTTCGGTCGTGGCTGGCTCCTGTTGGCTAGCTAGACCACTAAACTTGCCCCTACTAAACCCAGTAACCCAGTGCCATGTAACCGCATGAGCTCCGAAGACGCCTTCCGGCTTGATTTCCTGCACGGCTTCATGTCGCGGTTGAAACTCCAAACGACGATTGTGTGGGATGGAAGCGCCCCAGCATCTTTCCACACGATGCGGCATCTCCCTGGGGTACTGGGAGCCAGTGATCTGGACAGGAGTCGGTGACTTCGTGGAAGTTCGCCCAACGCTATGTCGGGAAGTCTCTCTGGACTCAGTTTTCCTGACTGTTACAACCGCTACAGCATATTGGAAGGATGTTGGGCCACGTGCAACGCATGCTTGCTCGTTGTCGGCGATGAGAGGCAGCCTGCCAACAGCTTCCGGCTGCGAATCGACGGCTTGGATTTTAGTTCGCTGTCAAGCTTGACCTGCCTGCGGACATCGACCTCGAGCACTTCAGTGGATACGTATAGGATGTTATTACTGCTACTAGTACTGCTACTACTGCTCCGGCTGTCATCCTTTTATACACCCCTGCCATTGTATAACCCCTTCCACTTTTCCGAAAATACTAGTCACTAGGCTGCCATTGTCACTCGTTGAAACGGAAACTGTCCAGTAGGGCTTAGGCTGGTTTAGGATGTGCTGCATAGCTGGTGGCATCCAGTTCCAAATAAAAACGAACTTTGGAGTAGGATGACCCAACCCAGCCCACTAAAAACACCTTACCGCGATCGCTGGCGGCTGATGCTGCCGAGCGCAGGTGCACAGTTCTTAGTGGGTATTCTGCAGGAGACGAAACGAAACGAGTTTTGTTTCCATCACGGTAGGGGATGCCACCTTAGGCAGCACGGTTCTGCGGACATCGTACGTAGATAAACGAGGCCTTGGGCCTTGGGGTCCTGGAGCTGCAGCCGCTTAAGCCGCAAGCCCCCTCTCCCCCTGCGTGCAATGAAGGTTTCTCTGTAGAGGCCATGTATGATAAGCCCCCCGTCGACTGATTCCAACGGCCTCGTCATGTTTCGCTCGCTGGTGTGGTGCCGCAGCATCTTGGTGTCTTGGTGTAGAGCAGTAGCAGGCCGGGCTGGGGGATAAAAATGGTTGTCCTTCCTCAGAAATTGGGATTTACGATTCAGGAATTCCGGATGGCTTGAAGTTTGAAGTCGGAGATCTCCGGGGTTTAGGGTTTAGGGGTTTAGGGTTTAGGGTTTTAGACTCTCAAGAAGTCGATTTTTGTTCAACGGCCTGTGGGAAAGATGCATCCGCGCGACTTCATGTCACTTCATGTCGGCAGGATTCGGCGACGGCTGGCATCGTGCAGCTCCCCCAGCTCTGTTTGTTGCAGCAATTGGCAAGGGTGTTTTGGGGATGAGGTCTTTACTTTGCGGTGGCTGCCGGCAGCTTCCAGATGGCAATGTTAAGTGGACAGCTATGCTTACAAACGATGACAGAGAGGTTCGACCATGCACCAATGCAGAAATGCTACATGCTTTTTCCAACTGCTATCTGTTTGGTCTTTGCAAAAAAGTCTGATGTGTATTGCCATGGAAGCGGATCATTGCTTCAGTGATTTTCAGATTTCATTGCATTCATGCATTCTGACATGAATTATTCTTCTGAGTGTGCCTGGTTGTAGCCTTTTGAATTCTGTTGTTAATGTTCACTGACAGTCGTGCCTTGCTTGGTCATTCGTGACGGAGGCATCAATTGTTTATATACCCGGTACCTGCTTTGCCGTACGCGGCGGGGTACTCCCATCATAGAGAATGTACAAATGTACAGCTTCACGCCAGACTGTAGTTCTGTTCTCAAGATGCGGTCGCAAAGCGTCCCTGCAAGATCGGATGCTGCGTCATGAATGAATGAAAAGGGTCAAGGAGTTAAGGAGTGAGAATATTATCCAGTTTGCCACGTTCGCGAGTTGTTTTTAAACACAGACCGATTCAATTGCAAAAGTGCTTAGCTCTTTTCTGGCTGCTCTGGCTCTGGATCAATAAATTGCTTCGGTACCATTGATCGGCTTCGTTGGCCCCACGCCATAGTGTGACACCTGGCGCAGATCAAAAGCCGTGTGTCAGCCGGTGAAGGCGATGAAGGCAAAAAAGCCCACGAAGGCCATTAAAGCCAAGAAGCCCGCGAAGGCGATGAAAGCGAAGAAGCCCACAAAGGCGATGAAAGCGAAGAAGCCCTCGAAGACGATAAAAGGAAAAAAGCTCACGAAGGCGACGAAGCCTGCCCAAAGAGCCTCCGTGCAACAGTGGGCGAATTTCTACCGTGGCGACCCAGTCAAGGACCCGTGTGTGTACCGGTGCCTCTAGACAGGCATCGTGGTGGTGCACCGTATCGAAGATGGTCGGTGTGCGGGCGATGCAGCTGCCCTGGATCGATTGCTTGATGAAGACCTGTGCGCCCACTGCGAGATCACCACGGGGCCCCTTGAGGCCGAAGGCGTCTCAGTCGAAGTCCTTGGGAAGACTAAGACCAGGCTTCCGGGAGCATCCTCACAGCTCCCGACCCCAAGCACGCGGAGAACATCATCAAGGCCCTTGGCCTCAAGCAGAACGAGAAGTCACCAGTGCCATCACGAAAGCCAAACTTGAGCGACACCACACCGCTGGAGACGGGGGATGCCGCCAGGTACCGATCAGCAGTTGGCTCCGGGATTTATCTTTCCGCGGACCGCAGAGATATCCAGTACGCGGTCGGAGCTCGCGCGCCACATGTCTGCCCCCAGGACCTGCAAGCTCAGCCGAGCCTGGTCCGAGTCACCACGATGGACCCCAACGCGCACGTGGAGCTCTGCGACAGCGACTGGGGAGGATGTGTGGAGACGTGGCGGTCCACGGGTGGCGAGGTGGTGACCACCTCGATGCAGACCCAACCGGCGTTATACCTGCCACGAGCAGCCCGGACGCGGAGCTGCATGGCATCAGTCGGGCGTGCCGGGAAGCCATCTTTGTGCACCACCTAGCGGTGCTGGACGTTGGGCAGGAGTGGAGATCCCACGCATATGGTCTGACAGCTCCACGGGTATCACAGCAGCCAAGTGCATCGGCGCAGGGAGCAAGCTTCGCCACCTTGACGTGTCCGAGTTTTACGTCCAAGGTGCAGTTCAGGCAGGGAAGGCCTTGCGAAGGAAGGTGAAGGGCACAGAGAATCCGGCGAATATCTGACCAAGTCCCCAAGACTGGGAACGAAGTGTTGCAAGCTTTGCTCTCCCTGGCGTGGTAGGCCTGACGCAGGTGCGGGAGACACCGCCAGGGAGACTCATTCGGTGAAGCTTGTGCGGGAAAACCCGCCGAGTCAGTGGAAGCCGGTGTTTCTTTGCACGTCGCTGGCAATCGCCAGCGCGACCATTGGACACCAGGTCCTTGCAGTGAGGGGGCAACCACGAGAAGAGGAGATCATAGAATGGGCCCTCCGAGCAACCCATCCTCTGGTTTGCCACCGATACGGTGCTACGGTAGTGCAGCCGCGGGCTGCGACGAAGGGGGAAGCGTTGCGCCGACAACCCGAAGAAGACGAACCCGAGGAGGAGGCTGACACGCCACTAGCCACCCAGCCAGTAAACATGCCACCCGTGGCTGTTGAGCGAGCCCACGCACCGCACGGTCCGTCTGTTCCGCAACTGCGTCGGCCTCGCGTCGGTGTCCGCAAACAGAATCCACACTGAGCGGTTTTGCCTCACGTGTTGGGGCAACACGGTGATAGGGACCAGGGACGAGGATCGACACCACTTCTATGTGGTAGGGGACAACTTCACGCCGCACGCGTTCGACGACTGCCCGCAGATCGGCGGGTGGCCCCGACAGATGCCGGTGTGCCTCCACTGCCGCGATCCCGCCTGGCGCGGGAGGCGCAGCCCTCGAGGTTGGAGGGGGTTGCGAGAAATCACGTGGTTTCCTTAAGTACTCATCACCGAGGGCATTGAGCTAGCTGCAGCTAGCTGCCCCACACTGTTAGTGCATGTACAGTTTGCATCCGCAGCCCTCTCTGTGGCTTCGAGAAAAGGTGTGCCTGCTTACTGAGCCCGAGGACGAAGTCTGCGCAGCGCCGCCTGCTGTGTGCCTCCTGTATGTCTGGGACGAATCCCATCTCAGAGTCTCTGCTTTGTGTAATTCCTTGTACGACGTTGCAACAAGTGCTACAAAGGCCGTGAAGTTTGTCTTGGTCCCGAGACTCCGCACTTGTCGCGTAAGACGCTCCATTCTTCTTTTATTTTATATTTTATGTGGTATGTCAAGGAGGATGCTGATCGGTCATTCGTTCGTTTACTGTCATCGTCGAAGCATTGGCACTACATACTGTTCGATACCCTCAACCGCATCGTCCCGGAAACAAGGCAAACTATGGCAAGCTTTGCTCACCGGTTGACAGTATTACAGTGCATCCCGGGTAAGTAGTATAACGGCTGGAACATGTCTGTGCACTGTAACACGCTTCGGAGGTTCAGATCCCTTGAGAGCGTATATCGGCATGATGCCGTATCAAGACAAGAAAGACAAATCAGGACACATGAGACAAGTAGCAACACCTGAAAGAAACCAATAATAACAACAATACAACTGCAGACAAAAATAAATCTCGACAACTAACAGCAACAAATAAAGACAACTAACACAACTATTCACAAATAATGACAAATACAAAGCAAGAAATCAAAACAAAGGCAAATCGTGACAAATAGATACCAACAAGGACAAACAGAAACTCATAAACACAAATCAAGCAAACATCAACAGCACATCAAAACAAAGAAAACACCTTAAATCCGTTTTTTCTTCGAGCGCGGTGTCCAACGCAAGGTCGCATCTGCAACCGGCTTATTAGAGGCGCTTGGCCATTTTGCGGCTTGGTTTATTCATAACCTTACTCCAGGATGCTTTGTTCTCAACTGTGGAAAGCTTCCTATACAAACACGTATTATCCATCCACACAAAGACTTCGAGGCATGGGGGGGTCGGAGCAGTGCCCCTGATTTTTTTCTTCGCGGCGCTGGGGCTGGAAAGGGGTCGCCCGAAGAGAAAAAGATTTCCATCCAGCGGGTGCCAGTCGCGGGTCCCTGTCAAATTGTGGTGAATTAAAAGAAAGCCGCATGTATCTTCATTCTCGCACACGGCTGCACCCTGTCGGGCACATCGTCGAATCAGGTTTACAGCGGTTTAATGATTTCATTTGTGGGGTAGTGTCCCAGTGTTCAAGTTGAGTTACTCTCTCGTGAGCACAAAGCCTGATAAGAGTTAATGAGATTTCGCGGAGCGATGTCCGGGTTTGGTATATTGTGTTACAGCTTTTATAAGCAAGTAATTAGAATTATGATAAGATCTAGCGAGATTTGGTGGATGGCGTTTAGTGACTCGTGTTTGTTTTGGGGTTCCGACGAAAGACACTCACACAAGACCCGTACACAACTTGAGGCATATTAATATATACTACTATATACTGCATGTATTAAGACGTACAACATAGGAAAACATGAAAGGAGACAAAGACAACTACGCGCAGTCATTTGTTCTTGCCTGTGAACAAATGCAGGCAGTGCTACAAATAAAGACAATAAAGACATACCCAACTGAAAAAATAGACAAGGAAAGACATATTAAGACATGTCAAAACATACAAAGAGAGATTAGGAAGGCATAATGGTTTCAAGGGCTCGACTATCGGATGTCACCGAGGGTCTGCGGCTGCAGATTAGGTTCAGGAGCATTCCTGTTTTGTGCAGCAGGCTCGTTGGATTTCAGGAAAGTTGCTGCAGCAACAGCAGTTGCTGGGCTGGAACATGCTGGAGCAAAACAGAAGAACAAAAAGCGTCAGCACGTGATGCCTTGCCCGATTGCTGTGTTTCACCAGGACATGATGATGCGGGCCATGCGGCTGCGTGACGACGGCCCAAGTCTGGTGCGGTACACCTAGCCGGTGCCAGAGGATTGTTCCGCTCAGAACAGGTCGTTTTCGTGGACGTGCAGTTCAGCGAGGATGCTGGAGTCCCGAATCTGACCAAGTCGTTCATCAAATCTTGGTTGCAGGACGCTTTGGCGCAGCTGTGGGACCTTGATCGATGGTTGCTGCATCGTGAAACTACTCCAGGCTCTGGTCTGTGAGTCCATGATTGAGCCTGTGTTGCCCCAACTTCCCCATCTCCAAGTCGAAGGTAGCCGATCTTCTTGGGACATCGCTTGGGTAACGGAAGATGGCTTTTCGCCAGGCCTTGCTTTTCCGATGCAAGCAGAAGCAGAAATCGTCTTCTGTGTCATGCGGAGGTGCAGCGCTGCTCCCATGCGAAACAAGCAAGTCCCGAGGAGCAGACGTAAAATGGCTGGTGCCCAAGGCAGGGTCTGCTGAGTTTGCTGTCCATGCTGTCACGGTTTGTTCAGTCGCTACACCGGTATGACGTGCTTGTGCAAGCTTTCCAAAGTCACAATTCCAGTCTGATCGTTGAGGCAGCAAATCTGCTCTGTCTACACATTCCTCACCTCCCATCCCGGAAGCTTACTCCTTGTTGCTGTTGCCGTTGTTGCAGCTGTTAACTGCTACCCGGCCAAGCGGCCCGGAAGACCCGTTGGACAGCCGACAGTCGGCTTCCCCAACCCCACATCGGTGTAGCAAGCTTGCCGATGGCCATTGTGAGCAAAGTGCAGTCCCATCTTGCCCGGTCACTCGTACACGGCCTATGAGTCCTTAGGGCACGAGTCAGATCTCTGTATCGCGCCCATGTGCAAGCCTCTGGTCGCCGATGCACTTGTGACCTAAAACTGTCTCCAGTGATGCCTGGGCGAATCCAGTGAGTAGAAACTAACACAAACACTACGACACTTCAGCTGTAGCCTAATGCGAAGCGCGGGATTACCAGGCCAGGCGAACAACAGCATGTTGGGCATGTTGTGCTTACTTGACGATCGGGACTGTTGAGCCCTGCAGAACCGAAGGCCAGCCATAGAACTGTTGCACCAGCTTGGAGGATTGAAGGTGCATGATGTGGCGATAGGCGCTGAGACCCCTGCATTGATTGCCCAGAGGGCCAACCTTTGTTGAACGAATGAATGAAAGGACAGCTTTTTCACCAAAGCAGACAAAGTAAGAACCAGTGAAGGTCAAGTGAGATTCTGCCAGTATTGGCCAGTGCCATCCGGCTTCAGCTTGCGAGGACCAGAGGCATGTACATGGGGGCATTGGAAAGGCTACTCAAGCGGCAGACCCATAGGGTGGAAAGATGTGGATAGCATCTGTACCAACAAAGAAGCACTTCTTCTTCGATCTTGACAAGAGTGTTCCGCCATCCCGCAGCTGGTGACCTGTGGGCGGCAAAAATTACTACGCACAAGCACTGGACAATACGGCGACGATTTTGCCCTAGTGCTGCCAGTTGGTGTCCGAACAAAGTGGGTCGACAAAAACGACAGGGAGCGTCACAGCTGTTAGAAGGCGCTACTTCACCCCTCGCCCTCAGCTTTTCGGACTGTTGCTCGACCCGCTTCTTGAAACAAATATTGACCGAGTCGTATCGGTAAGAATATCCTTCCATGCTCCCCGAAACATTTGTCACAAGTTGGAAGATCTGCATTAGCTGTATGGAAGAGGCTGGCATCTTGCTCATGAAGCCGCCCGGACCACAGCAATCGTGACCTTCGCCTTGGTCAATTGCAGGAGGTCAGACAAGCATCAGCCTGCAGATTTTTGTTGTGAAGGTCTATGTCAGCTTTGCAGATCTTGCACGAACTGAAGTCCCAAGAAGCGCACACTTCCAAAGTACCAGGACAGGGACTCCTGTTCGCTGCCGCGCAAATGCTGACTTCTGCAAAGCTCATGTCGGTGGCAGGTTCCACCGTCAGTTCGGCCTGGGGCTCTTTTCTCATTCGAGAATGGCGGGCAAGAGATGCTTAGTTGCACTGAGAAGTTGCGATGATGCGTGGGAAATGTTGTGTTCTGTCGTGCCACTGCTTGAGTATGCTTTGGCCGAAACCATGACGGAAGCATGACGGGACATGTGCGCTTCAGGATTGGTACCAGACTGCGTATGCTTACCTGGACGCAGCTAGAGCTTCAATGCACAGTCAGAAGACTCGAGACTCGATTGCGGCTTCATATCGGAGGATGCAGCAAAACCGGCACCGCAGTGGCGAGACATCGAACTGCCACAAGGAGCTCTTCGGAATTCCTCGCATGGGAGCGGAACACTTCGCAGCCACCGGCTGCGTTTGAGGTGCCGTACGAAGCATCGGAGCCTCGCAGCTGCGGATGCTGGCAAGCCCGGGAAGAGCTGCCGGTCTTCAGCTGCGCTGGGCGCTGCACCAGTGCGAACACTTCTCGGAAGGGAGCCTCGTCGCAACGGCAGCAGCTCATATCGTGGTCATGCCGACTCATTTGCGAGGAGTGGCTATTGTCATGTGGGCCCTCTGAAGCCAAGGGGCTTTGGGTCCCGGGCCGAGCGCCAGCGGGAGTGAAGTCTCAGGATCTGCGCGCCAATGCACCTTGCTTGTCGTGCTCTTAGGTTTCTGGTGGAGCCCTGCGGATTTCCAAGCTTCTTCAGCCCCGGCAGGCTCAGTAGTGCCGATCGGGGTTGCGCTTGGTGGTAGCCCTGAGTGGCAGTTGTGTCTCGGGCAGCCGCCCGCGCAGCCGCCCGCGCAGCCGTGTTTATTTTCAGCGGCTCCTTTAGTTCTTTGCCTCTCCAGAAGTCTGCGGCACTTCAACGCGGCAGCTAGGGAAGCCGCATGAGGTCTCGCACATTGGCAGACATTGGTGTGCAGTGTGTCGCTGGTATCGAAGAACAGGTGGTGGAGACACGCATCAAGCACAAGCTGTTCCTAATCAGGACTTCAATGTCATCATGCACAGGCTACTGACAGAACTTCTCCACAAGCGTTGCCGTCGTCGATGCTGGGGCTGCTGGGAGCCGGGTCTTCAACAAGCCAAAAAATGACCATCTTTCCAAGGGACGTCAGCGCCAGATGTACAGGCCATCCCTTGCACAGCGCCGTCGCGCAGGCATTTAGGTATGAAGTCGGCTGAGTAGGCTTTGATGCCGCCAATATGAAATCCAAGATCTCGGGATCCTCCACCGTTGGATGCCAAGGCTCGGTGATGTCCCGTGGCTGGCACGAATCATCATCATCATCATCATCCGGCATTCACTGCGCAAAGTGGTGTGCCAGGATAGATTGATCGGCTTTGAATCAATTGTGTGATGTCACTAAAGCCGGGCCCATGGGGGCGAGACATGCCGAGAGATCTTGGAACGGCGAAAGCTGCCAGAGGATGAGACAAAGTTTTCCGTGAGGCAAAATTCACTTCCGTGCCAGTTGTTGCAGAGCATGGTACGTTCGTCCAGTTTCTCAAAAGAGATCCACCACACAGTCGAACCAGAGCCCAAGGTTCATCCGAGTTCAGATCCAACGATGGCAGCGTGGCAGCGCGTCCCTTCTTGACATCAGCTGCAGTTGCGATGCCCAAAGCAAGCGAAGTGGACGATGAATGGGAAGACAAAAAGACGGTTTTTGCTGCACCGAGACAAGCTGCAATGTATCAGATGTGCTGGGTCTCCTCTCCCAGCCCTTCCGCCCTGCATAAGTGCCTCAGATGCCCCGAGCATCGGAGCAAACTCGGCCTAGGCACGGAGGAAGCGCCGATGCTGCTGATGTTCAGGCGGAGGATTTCACCGGTAATTCGTTTTGAAAGCAGACACTTGCGCTTGTCATGTCTCGTACTCGAGAAAGGATGACTTTGTGGTTGAGTCGAAATCAATGGCTGTGAAAGCAGACCGGCCCCATGCTAGCAGGGGTCATGCCAACTGCTTTTTTCGACGCTTGATGCATACCAGATATTTGCTCTGAACATTGTTCTCGGTCTGGGTCTGTTTTTGTTTCTGGAGGAAGGAGGGCGGGCATGCGCCCACGTCTGTGTTCGGCTCATGAAAACATGGGTGAAATGGTGTGAGCTTGACAGACACAAGCTGAGTGTGGACATGTTCTGTACATCAGTCGGGCACCACTCCCGAGACCTCCAAACATAGCACTTCAAAATCTGCCAAAGCACCGACCAGATCAGATCAGCATGGGCAACAAACGGTATGTCTGCAATCCTCTTGATCTTTGTATCAGATTACCAACATCACGGAGCCAGATATGTTTGTATTTGTCATGCGGTTCCAGGCAGATCGGTTGGAAATCCAGTTGAAAGCATCTCAGGAGGCGCCTGTTGTCATAATATTCTTCCCAGAAGCTGCAAGTCACCGTAACGACAGTCGGCTGCTGGGCTTCAGGTGTTCTTGTGCCCACGCCGGGTGCCCGTGGCAATCCTGGCCGTGCCTCGGGCTGGCTCCACCTCCGTCGCCAACTGGGCGGCGCGCCATGGAGGGAACGGCTTTCAAGATCGAGACAATACAAATGATGCTGCAGTTAAGCTGTTTGAGTTTTACTCATGCAGAATGGATGACGCAGGGCCTTCTGGATGGTGTCGACAGTTGGCTCTCGGCTGCAGGCAGGAGCTACTCGTGTCAATGAGCGCGGCTGTTTGTTGCACGGCGGAAGGCCATTCTCTTCAGAACGCGCAGACTTTGTGGAAACCAGAGGCATCACTTCATCGAGTGCGATCCCGATCAGCAGCTGCTAGTCGCTAGCCGTTGCTAGCCGCTGGCCGCCGCTTGGAGGACAAGGACTTCTCGGTGTGGGGGGTCCAGCCCACGACTTAGTTTCGACCAGTGCCGTAAAAACGACCTTGAGCATTTCTAAGCCCAGGCAGTAGACACATTCAGGATGACATCTGAGGCACTTCTGCCTGCGGTGCTGCAGGGTGCGCAGCTGGTCCAATTCACGCACCAAGATGATAGAACTTGCCGCCAGGCAGGGGTTCAGAGGCTACACTTGGTGGTCATGCGGCCTGCGGCTTACTGCGGCTTGCGGGGAAGCACAGACAGAAAGCTTCTGTAGTGACTGTAGTGGGTGTGAGGTCGCCTTTCGATCGTTTGAAGTCTCATTTCCACCGGAGCCAGGCCTGGGCCTCTCGGAAACCTTGGCCAGTGCACGATGCGTTGCTGCCAGGTCAGTCGGGGCGGCAAATGGTCCGACTTTCCAGGCCGCAATTTGCAGGCTGCAGGATTCACGACCGGACAAGGGTGGCAGTGTCAGGTTGGTGGCGCTGGGCCTCCACAATGTTGAAACGTGGAATCGCTCCCTCTTGCGAGCCGTGCTCAGATGTTGTGGCTGCAACTAGCATCAAGCAACGCGACAGTTCGAGAGTCCAGCGCGACATCTCGTGCGTAAGCGAAGAAGGCAACAGCCGTTGTTGATTGACAGACTTTTTCTACAATTCTTATGTGTCATTTCGTTGCTGGCGAAGGCCTGGCCTAGCGGCCTAGCACTCCTCCCCCGACATGCGGTTGTCAGTGCAACGACACCGAAACAGCACATCGCGGAGCTGGCGGGTGGACACAGTCTCATTGCGTGATGTGGGGCTCCTGTTTGGCAGTAGGCATGTGAGAACAACAGCACCAAAGCCAGTTCCAACTCCAGCTTAATTTGTCAATCAGAGTGGTTGTGGGAGAGTGTGCTTTGGGAAGACGCAGTGTTATTTATGTCCACCTCATGACTTCAAACCTGTGCAGATTTCCACACCAAATAAGCAACCGAATGTGGATCGAATACCTCGTGTACCCCGTTGCTTGACCAAGGTTTTCTGAATTCGAGTTGATGCATTTTTCCGGCATTTTGCACCCACGACATTTCGTCCTTCCACATCGATTGTTTGGTCGTTTGCCCGACGTGGTAATGCGTGTCAGGACAGGGGATCCAGGACACTTTGCTGAAGGAACAAATCACGATAAGTTAGTTATGTGGACGTGATCTCCCAGGCTGGGAAAGTGCATCCCGACAAGTTGTGTCCCCATCTTCTACACGAATACGCGCCATCGAGCCTTGCAGAGAACGTCGGACATTATGGAGTCATGTGCGCAGACTGAAGAATAGAACGGTCTAGGGCCAATCTAGGGTTTTGCACTTGGTCTTTGTTTTTGAGTAGTCGACGATAACGGGCAAAACACAGCTCTCACGGCTTCAGCATGCTAAAGATCCACGACAGCAGTATCATGGAACAAAAAGCGTAAGTCGCACGTTCAGTGCGGTCCGTCGACCTGCAAAAAAGGGTCTGCGAGCCTGTAGCATCGGCTCGGTCAGCAGATGCAGCCGAAGACACCAGCCACGCAGCAAACATGTTGAAGGAAACGGCACGAGTGCGAGAACAACGACAGCAGAGGGTTGATCGCAACAATTAGACGAGAAGCTTGATCCCATGCAGATTTCAGCTTTAACATGCCATCGGCAGATAGGTGAAAGAAGGTGGGAGAAGCAGGACCACTAACAATGAGCTATTGAGTGCTACTGAGCTACAGGGAGGAAATTCGATGTTCTTGATGTCTTGTTGAATTCAATCCATGTACCGCAGCAAATCCCAGCCTATGCAAATGATCACGTGTCAGTGCCCGGAACAGTTTGCAGCACCATCGCCTGAACGGGTTGTGTGTCAAAAACAGTTACAGGAGGGGGATGAAGCTTGCAGGCTATGTTTCTTGTGCAACAGGCCGAATGCACAAGCATTGTCTCCGCAGCTTCGTCGTGAGCTGACGAACTGCAGCTTTCCGCGCAAGACAAATTGCACTCTCCGAAATAACAGGATGCCATTGGCGAGCATAAGCGAGCAAGCAAAAACCTCCCGTGCAAAGAGCCACGGTTGAAGTGTTCCAGCCAACATTCTTCAACATCAAAGGCCGGGATTGAACTGTACAGTCGGTGACCTCAGGAACTTCTTTGTTCTTACGAGAATGCAGAGGGAGGATGCGACCAACAGCAACAGACAGGCAGGAGTGTGCTATGAGTGTCGGATGTAATGCCGGTATGAAGAAGCCCAACATGGGAAGAAGCAGCGAGACATGGCACAAGGAACCAAAACATGTCACAGCGGAAGAGCCGGAATCGAAGCACCAAGCAGCAGCCAGAAGAGCCGCAAGTCAAGCAGTGTTGACTTCTGTCCATGAAGCTCCTACAGAACTTCAGATCTGTCCAGGCGAAGATGATACAGCCCATGGGACCGAGTCACAAACTAGAAGACGAGCGGCCCGAAAGCATCATTTGCCAAGAGTTTAGCACTTTGTAAAGTCATAGAGTCAAGTACATAAAGTCATAGAGTCAA